GATGATCCAAAATGACTTTCAGGGCTTGGGCAAGAGCTGTGGACTAAATTCAGCTTTCATTTAGGCCTCATTCCAAATACAGAAATACATAAAGAGACAGTGGATTCTCATGGTCGAACATAGCAGCAGAGGTGTGTCTGAACTGTTTTAAGGGTGCAAATACAAATTAAAATTCTGTGATGCGGAAAAAACAAACTAAGGCAGATTAGAGTAGGGAGAAAGCTGGGCACAGTAGGTGTGTGGGTGAGAGTATTGTGATTGATCTCCTAAAGATACAGCAGTCTGTCTGAGGCCAACAGCAAAGCTGCTTATCATGCCCAGCATTCGTGACAAGTGAGCAGCTAGATTCTGACATGACGTAAAAGAAAATCAAGAAACACAGATACCAATCTTACCCACATCAACTGGCCAATCCTGTGATTTAAAAATAACGATTTATTTTTTTTTTTTAGTCTCCTCAGCATAGCATTTTAGCTGTGTGTGCGGTGGAGGTATTTGCTCAGATACTTCTACCTTGCTGGCCTTGTGTGCTCTCTGTCTCTCTGCCAGCACCTAGGTGCTTTTATTGTTCCTCCCCACAGTTATCTTAATTTGTTGCCTCAGCCAGCTGTTCCTGCCTTCACATTGCCTGTGCCTGGCTTGCATCCTGTGTGAGCCTCCTTCCTTATTATCTTAATGTTGAATCACGTTATGCCAGGGTAATACTTTCTATTAGCTAAATAGTCTCCTTTCAGTTTAATTGAGAAGGTGACCTTGATAACAAGCTTTATTGAATCTTACTGAAAAATAAATGGTGCTGCAAAGAGTCCAGAGAAGGGCAAGGACCCTGGTAAATGGGCTGGAGCAGAAGTCTTACAAGGAGGGAGCTGGGGATTTTTAGCCTGGAGAACAGGAGACTTGAGGAGGACCTCTTTAACTACTTGTGAGGAGGTTTTAGTAAGATGGGGGTCAGTCTCTTCTGCAGGTTGCAAGTGACATGATGAGAGGAAATGGCTTCAAGTTGCACCATGGGAGGTGTAAACTAGATATTAGAAGAAATTTCTTAATGGAAAGGGTGGTCAAACATTGGAATAGACTGCCCAGGGAAGTGGTGGAGTCACCATCCCTGGAATTTTAAGAAAACCTGTGGCTATGTCATTTGAGGACACAGTATAACAGTGAACATGGTGGTGGTGGTGCTAGGTTAGACTTGATGGTCTTCAGTCTTTTCCAACTTTAAGCATTCTGTGATTCTATGAACCAAACTATGATTAGGATATTATTTCTGTTATTGCTATTTATCATCCAGGATTAAATATGCCACTGCAAAATCTTTTTATGACTGTCTGTTCTGGTTCTGGCCAGGACAAGATTAGTCTTTGCAGTGGCCAGAACAGGGCATGACTAGAACCTGGAGATTATTCTGTACCACCTCACGTCATTGCTGGGACCAGGGGGGAAGGAGTCTCTTGCAATGAGAAGGAGTCTCCTTCGGGAGGGAATGGCAGGGGGAGTGCTCAGGTAATTCTGATTCTGAACATTTTGCACATGATTCATCACCTCTCTCTTGTATGCTTGTTATTAATGTTGTTGCTGTAACTGTTCACTTTCTTATCTCATTGCCATCTCCAGTAAATTGTCCTCAGTTCGCAATCTTTACCTTGTGTGCCTTCAATTCTCCTCTTCAGCCACCAGCAGGGGAGGGGGACAGGGGGAGTGAGCAAGTGGTAGTGTGGTTTGGAGCACTAAACTGAGGAGTAGCATTCCTAAATCACCAGTACCCAAAGGTACAGACTAGGGTGACAAAGTATGCATATATGTATATGCATATCAAGACAGTTTATGCATTTTTACTTTTCCTATATTACCATTCTGCTTCCCTGTGAAAGGAGATAAAAGTGCCTTTTGCAACCTCACTTACTAGTTTCTTTTAGCAAGTACTTTTACAATTGAGACAGAACACTTCATTATTATGATGGAAATTTTAACACCATTAAAAATACAGTGTAAAATATGCAGAGAGACTATCTGGTTAGAATTTGTATGTGAAATGGAAATATAAAGGATAGAATGACACCTGTTTTGAATCACACCACTGAAAAAAAGGCATGATTGATGCCAGTAGCCCTACCTTTAATTATTGTATTCTTATAGCTTGAGTTGTGGATTAAAAAGGAAGACCTTATTTAGCCACTATTTTGGTGAATTACATGTGCTTTAGGTATTATTAAGCCCTGCTTATTCTGTAAATTTCTGAATGTAAGGTTTATCTCCTAAACCTCTCTTTCTAGAATAGAATATACAACCATTTTATGTCGCTAGGGTCAAAAGAAAGCCGGCTTGCATGAGAAGGGTTTGAGCTGTCTTCTGTCTGCAATGCTAAAAAAGTCCAGATATTAAGAGACAAGAGGCAATTCTATCAGCTTCTATGGTTGTAAATATGTCTGTCCTTAGTCTCTATTCAGCTTCAATTTAAGCAAGCTGTCTTAAATTCCAGTGGAATTGAAGAGGGGATGAATTCTTCAGTAGGAAGGCATGAGGCTTTGCTAAAAGCTGAGCAAGTACTAGTCTTTGCAGCCTTCCATACATCCCATATTATGTACTAATTTCATCAAAAAAGAAACACATGACAACCCTGTATGAAGAATAGCTTGGTTAAGACGGAGCTTCAGGCAGGGTTAAACATAAAATGTTAATGCTGACAATTCATGAATATAACAATCTCAGCTCGTTAAAGACTGAGACAGTATTTTACAATGATATATATGAATTTTCTAACGTGTCAATATATCTTACAAATGTAAAAATGTGTGTTCCTTAAATTTTGCATACTTCTGAAGCAGATAATCTTTGAGATTCCTTTCAACCTAAACCATTCCATGATTCTATGAGTTTCACATTCACAAGTCTCACTTCTCTTAGGGAAGTGTAACTACTCTGCTAGAAGGACAATACAGCAGAAAACAGTCCAAGTTTCTGCACTGCAGTGGTGGTAACTTCCTAAAACATATATTGATGAGATCAGAATTTCTGGAGGGACCTCATACTTGCCAGGAAGGAGAAATTGGTCAGGTTGTGAGATTCAGGAGCATTCTCTTTTGCAATGACCATGAGAATGTGGAGTTCAGGGAGGAACAAAGCCAAAAGATGGGACCACAACCCTGGTGTTCAGACTTTTTCATGTTCAGGTGTCTGCTTGGAAGAATCCCACAGTATACAGTCCTAGAGATTAAAGGTTCCAGAAGAACTGATTGATTTTCAAGGATCTTCCTCCTTCAAGTTTAAAAATGGTCTCCTTCCAAGAGCAGGAAATCAAACAAATGTGGCAGGAGGTCCACATAATTGAAGCAGTAGCTCTGGACAAAACTCAGAATTGAAAAGGAAGCATACAAAAGATGGAATTAGGGCCAAGTGGCTCAGGAGGAATACAAATACCTATCTGAGAGTTGAGGTATAGGACTGAATCTGCCACGACATGGAAGGCAACAAGAAGGGCTTCTACATATGTAAGAGAAGCAAAAGAAAGACTAGAAAAATGTGTGTCTGCTGTTGAAAGGATTAGGAGACCTTACAAGGCAAGGCAATGACAGAGAAATGATTGAGGCCTTTTTCACCCATCTTGATAGGTAAGACTGACCTTCAGGAATCTCAAGCCCCTGAGTTTTAAGAGAAAGTCTGGAGCCATGATGAACAGCTGAACAAAGCAAAATACTCTTCCACTGTGAAGGTGGTCAAACAGTGGAACAGGTTGCAGAGACAGGTTGCAAAGCCTTCATCTGTCAAGATACTCAAACTCTGACTGAACAAAATTCCAAAATACCTGCTCTAGCTGACTCTGCTTAAGCAGGCAGTGCCAAACTAGATCATATAAAGTCCCTTCCAATATAAATAATTATGTGATTATGTGAACATAAACCAGTACATATACACAGAATCTTTAGGGGAAAGATGAAAGGAGGCAGAGTTCTTCTAAATTTTGAGTTCTATTTTTCCTGAAATTTTTTAGGCACTTTTACATATAAACTCAGGAACAAATAAAAATGGTCTTTTCCACTATAAGTGCAACTTACACACAAACACAAGGAACCATAATGGTACATAACTTACTCATATTAAAGACCTGAACTGTATTACTTGTGGAAATTTGTAAAACAATATCAATATTAATTACCATTCATTCAAAGACTTTTTTAATGTAAAATAGCAGTATGTTCTGTGTGTTTGACTAATTTCTACTGTGGCTGACCCAGTGAGGGAAGTGGTTAAGTTTTCAGGGTAATTCGTGAGTCCATGATCTTTCTGGTGGGGCTTAGAAGTTACTTCTTTGAACTTCTGCATACATCTTATGTATCTCATCAGTAATGTTTTGGCACCTCACAGATGTAAACTCCTGGACAGTGCTCTGTGCCTCTTTTTCTCTTTCCTGTGTGGCTGCATCAGCAGTGACGTAAAGCATTAAGTACACAGATACGAGAATTATCTGTGAGTACTTCGTAGCTCATAGGCCCAGATGTGTATATCTACTGTATGTAGATGTGTTTAATTCATTTGGGCAATAGTTTGACATCAAGTGAATACCATAAAATATGTGTTTCTTGAAAAAAGCAGTACACAAGATAGAAATTATATAACTTTTTCCTGAACAATAAGTCATCGAGATTTTAATGAATAAATCATAATGCAGGAGTATTAAACAAGACCAAATGACTAGATAGATGTGCTCTTTATACTTTAAAACATACTAAAGTAATGGATATCATATTAAATCATAAAACTTCAGTAAGAACTCAATTGGCAAATAAAAACTAAAAAGTAAAAAAAAAAATCTCAAAACCTGCACATGTAAACCCATTGAAGCAATATATTAAAACATATTTTAAAGAGTAATAAATTAGAATCATATGAAGAAGCTTTAGAATAACATGGTATTATAGTTGATTATGTTTTGACAAAGTAATAGGACTTTAAAATGCACATAGTTTGACTCCTTTTGATGATAAAATTTTCTTTTTCTTTTGTAGAAAATGATGAGGTCATCTGTGTTTCATATGTTCATACTAAGCATGGTTGCTGTCGATGTGATTGTTGCTGCTAGCAACTACTATAAAGGAGAAAATTTCAAGAGACAATATGATGAATTTTACCTTGCTGAGGTGAGTATGCTGATACGACTATCTGGGTAATTTTCAAGAGAAACTAAAGTAAAAAATGTGACTGTCAAGAACATTTTAGTGTGTAATTTTTTATTCCCTTAAGCATTCCAAGAATACTTTGCTAACTTGTTCAACTTCCTCTGCCTGACAATGGCTGACAGCCCTATCTTACAACATTTTGAAAGGTAATTTCCTCAAACAAAATGTTAGCGGTCATGAGCTGTGGCTTAAGTATAACATCTGCTTGCAATGCATGGCTGCTGAGTTGCTATCTTTCTCTGTCAGAAGTGTAACATTCAGAAGAATGTGACTTTAACAAGATGACAAAACGTTGCATTTAAAAAAATATGATATAGAACTTCTTCCAAAATCATCTTTATTTTGTATACATACTTAGCTGACAGAAGATCCATAAGCATAAACAAAATAGTGTTACAAACTGTCTGGCTTCAGAAGTTGCAAGAACACACCACAAAAAAAAAGATTTATTCAGTCATGAATTGTGTAAAGGAGGAGTCTGTGCTCCTGAACTAGTGAATTGGAGGCACAAGTGACATTCTGACAGGAGCCTGCTTGAGTCATTAGCTGGGCAAGGATCCTACTGTAGAGCATGCACTAGAGATCCTAGAACCTTGCCTGGACTGGGCACATTTCTACTTTATGCTTACTGCAGTTTCCCTGGCTTCAATAGTTACACAGTCCTTTGGAGCCAGAGGGGTCATTCTTAGACTAGAATGAATGACAGAAGAATGTTCCTGGTTGTTTCTCTGGTTTTGGTTGTTGTGTGGTTTCCTATATCTAAATATATTTGATATTCAGACTCACATGCCCAATTTCAAACCCTTTAGTCCACAACAGTACAATGCTTTATGAATCTCCTTTTTTTAAGGAAGGTTAAGTTGTTACATATTTTTTATCTTAGTTTTAGAATTTGTATTTGATCTCTTAAAATTATATGAAGTTCATACATGAAGTTCACTGGTTCTGGGACAGAAATGAGAGCAAAAAAACCTGTTAAAAACAGCATCAGAGTCCAAACCTTTAAAAAAATTACAGATTATAGACAGCAATGCTGCATCATTCTTCATTGTCTCTCATGCTGCTGGGGATTGCTGTATTTTGTATGAATATTGAGTCAATGTTGTTGTGAACAGCACTTACAAGAATAATTATGAAATGTGTTGTCTTATTTTATCTCAGCTTCTAAGACTATTTGAAAAACAACATGAACATTAAAATTATTATCATGAAAATAAGACATTGGAATAAAAACAGCAAATGCTGTGTTCTCATATAAAATGCTCCACAGATTTTAGAGCAGAATTGAGGACAGGGAAACTCATTTTAATCTCCATGATGGTTTAACCCCAGCCAGCAGCTCAGCCCCATGCATCCTGTTGTTTACTCTCCCTCAGTGGGATTGGGGCAGAGAATGATCAGAACAAAAGTGACATAACTCATGGGCTGAGGTAAAAACAATTTAACAGGTAAAGCAAAAGTCATGCACACGAGCAAAGCAAGGGATTAATTCACCATTTCCCATAGACAGGGAAACTGTCTCCAGGAAAACCAGGCTCCATCAGCCATACAACAGTAACTTGGGAAGACAAACAGTGTCGCTTTAAATATCACCCCCCTTCCTCCTGCTTCCTCTAGCCTTATATACTTGGCAAAATGTCCTGTGGCGTAGGATATCCTTGTGTTCAGTTGGGATCATCTATCCTGGCTGCTTCCCCCTCCCCAGTCTTTGGGCACCCCCAGCCTAATCACTGGTGGGGTGAGAGGCAGAAAAAGCCTTGACTCTGTACAAGCACTGCTCAGCAACAGCTGAAACAACTGCGTGTTACCAACACTGTTTCCAGCACAAATCCAAAATAGCACCATACAAACTATGATGGGGAAAATTAACTCTGTCACAGGCAAATCCAGTACAATATCCTTGGCTGGAAACAAATAATTAAGTCAGCATTAAAGCCTGAGGCCATGAACTCTGCACAGCAGACATTTTTGCTTTGTGCCCAGGATGCAGCAAGTGGAGCCTGGATTCCTAACAAAATAGCATTCATTCTATTTATATTTAAAATAGGGAACGTTGCATGTCCTATTTCTATTTTGGTTCTGAATATATAGTATAATTATGCTTTTATTAATCAGTGCTAGAAACAATCTCTTCAACATTTATTTCAAATATAAAGTTTGCAGAAGATTTTTTTTTCAGTAGAAATACTTGCCAGGGTTTATTCAAGGTGAGTATATAATGTAGACTAGTGTATTATAATTCTGTCCTATAAGCAATGTCCAGTTTTCCTTAACAATACATTTTTCTCTTTCTGCATAGCTTAGATAATTGATTTCTTAGTGGAGAGGTTGTCAGAAAACTCATTTTTTCATCTTTTTATATTTCCAAGTATATGAGGCGAATTATTCTGGGATAGAGAAAGATGGGGTTTTTTTATTTGCAAACTATTTCTTATGTCCATAAATTGGGTTTCCTGGTTTTGTTTCTCTTTTTTTTTAATCCTGTGATGCTTTTACTAGAGGCACTATAAAAATCAAACTAACAGAATCCTAGTATGTTATAGAAGGAACAAAGTATCACAAGAGCAGAAGAATAAAAAAAGAATCCTGAGAGAGAGGAAAAATTGATAAGCTGGCGTCATTTCCTATTTGGTTGTTGTGGAACTTCTTTTTTGTAGCACAAAGGGTGTACAAAGGAAATATTTCTAAGAGCCTTGAAGAAGCGGAATACTCAAACAATGCAGGTTATTCAACAGTGTTTGTCTGCTTGGTGAAGAGGATGAGTTGGAGCAGGATGCACTTGTGTTGCTCTGTCTTTTCCATTAGAGAAGGCTACAGAAAGCTTTCACTTCAGTGGGAGCTGACTTGAGCAGCCAACAGTAGTGAGGATTCACTTTGCTAAAGGAAATAGCCAGATACAGCAAGCATATCTGGCTTTCTGATATATTTTCCAGAAGTTATCTTGGAAGCTGCTGGTTTTAGAAGACATGTCTAATAAAATATCTCACTTGGTCTATTCTATGTATCATACGTTGTAGTGGCCTAGAATTGTAGAAATACATCTGCTTAAATTCAGTGGGCAAATCTATATGAATTTATTAAGATGCCCCATACCAAGAAATGAAACCTGTTTTCATTGTTAGAAAGATAAGACAAATGCAAGAAAGCAAAGGTTAAACAAGAAGATAAAAGAAATTAATCTATACCCAGATCCCATTGTTTGCATAATTTTGTATACCCAGTAGTAAATAAGAGGTTCTGACAGGCATTTCAACTTGTATGCATCAGTTCTGCATAATAAGCAAAACCAGAATTTTAACAGCATGACTCAAAGCCCCAGCACAGTATCCTGGAAAGAGGAGAGCTTCAAACACACTTTGGTAATTTTTAATGAGGATGCTGACTTTAAGTGCACAATACCTAGACAGAATAGTGATGGATGTTTGTTTTCATATGGGTCTTCCATTGTAACATGTTACAGACTAGCTGTCTTATTTGAGTATGGTTCCTACAAATACTGTCTGAAGACTGGAGTCCAAAACCAGGTGCTCCTATATAGTTTCTCCTAGATTCCTTTTGTAACCTGTCCTCTTGCACTGCTGCCTTTGAGTAGCCTTTGTCTTGTCCTGGATGAGGGAAGGACTGAATGCTGTGTCAAATTGGGTAGTGAGGGAAATGCTAGAGGTCTGTGCCCTTAATCGCACTGATCCTCCTTGGAAGAATTCTTACCTTTCCTGACAGCTTGATAACCTTTTAAGTAGGACACAGTTACAAATTAAAAAACAATGTCAGTGTTGAATACTGACTGATAGTGAGCTTTGCCAAAAAAAATGTTGAGTGGCTACTCAGAAAAGTTAATGTTGATGAAGGTGCTATAAACTTTCCAGCTGGCCAAAAGGGACATGAGTATCAGGGAAATGGCCCATTCCTGTTAGCTCCTCTTTGTCCTCCCCAAAGCAGGATTGGCAACATAGTGGAGGGTGGCTGCTTGGCAATTGCTTACGCTTACACCTGTTTTTTCTGCTCTGGCTTCTTATGTGAGTTTGCTTTTGCCTTGTCTCTACAGCAATGAAAGGAATTTTTCCAACTTTAAAAAAAACTCATGAAACTATAAAATTGTATTGCATTTCACACCTAACAAAAAAGTTCTAGTCAGGTATTCTGAATCTTCTCCTGTAATTAATTACAAGGAAGGAAAAAAATACAAGCTCTGTCAGCAGGAAGACAGGTGTATAAATGTAATCAGATGTTATGCAAACCATTTGATACATTTTTAAGTGCCAGTGGTTTGAATTCATTTGACAAGTATGTGAAATGCAAATGATCCTGCCCACACATTTTTAGAATAAATTAAAATACACTTAACATCATATTTGTTAGTCTTGTTCTAATAGGAAGCCTATGTGCTCTGAAGTGTGTATGTGTGTATTTAAATGCCATTGTTATTCCACCTGCTCTGAGTTGAACCCCAGATGCTTTCTAACCACTGTTCCATTTTGCCTAATTCAATGCCCTTCTTTTAGGACTCAGTTAGCTGTTGTGTCACTAAAAGTGAGCTTTACTTCTAATATTTTTTTTCTGCTACAACATCTTCCTTGTGTCTCTGACATTTTCATGTAAAGGAGTAGTCTCTTCAAAACTGCCTCATTGTTCTCCTGGAGCTCTTTGAGATCCCAGAACACAGGCTGAAAAACTGGCCATATCCATTTGAGGATAAGGGCATAAATGTGCCCCTTCACTGTCTGTGAATGAAAGCACACAAATGTTTCTTAGTAGTCTTTCTTTCCTAAGAAAAGGAAAATCTCCTGAAGAGATTTTTTGAGTGCTATAAAGCATTTTGACTCGATTTAATCGTTATGCAGACATTTGAAGCTTGATAACTATTTTACATGCCTTGAGGAAGTCATATAGTATAGCTAGTAGCACTGCTTGTAAATAGCTGTGTGGACTAGGGGAATAAACAAATGGCATAAACTTAAGTGTTTAATTTCCATCTCCAGTCCTGCCTGTGACAGTCCTGTACACATAAAATACATAAAATTCTATATAGCTATCTCACAACCTCCCTCTTTCATGTTGATAAATATATTTTTGATGGACTGTAGAGTTTAAATTTTAAATAACGTAAATACTTAAGGCAGCATCCCAGAGATTTTCATTGTCAGGGTCAGGATTAAAATCTTAGTCTCTAACTTTTTTATCCAAATTTCAGTAGACCTCATGGCCCACAGTCAATTAGTCTCTCTCCATCTTAACAGACTAATGATGCTTGTCTTCAAAGCAGATGTAAGCTGCATTTTCTTTATTTGTACTGCACTTTGAAAGCATTAGTTGTATTTAGATGTGACCTGATGTTACTTTAGTGTCTCTCTTTTAAGCCTCAGCTTGTGTAAAGGGTCAGAGAAGAACATTTCTGAGTCACAGAAAAGTATTTCCATTGCATATCCTGGCTGTTGGAAAGTGTGGAAGAGAGCATCTCAGAGTATATACAGTGATAAATTAAGAAGGAACATGAGGAAGTGTGCCTAGCCAGAAGGATTTTTGGTAGTGAGAGAAAATAAAATGAATCTTAAAGATGCAACCTCTGCTTTTTTTCAAACTGAACATTATGCATTTCACTGTGCAAATATTTCAAGAAAGGCCTCTGGAAGAACCCCAAAATCATTCTCTACAAGTAGATTTCTTCCCTTGTAACTTTCCACCATGTCCAAGTTCTATAACATCATTATGAAAATTAACTAATTCTGGACTGAACTTTGAATTTCCTCTCCTTTTAAAATATTTTTTAGTGTGTTTTTTTTTTAAAATTTGTTTAATTGTTTAATTGCTTAATGCTTAAAAAACATAACCTCTTTTCTATCTGTTTTGGTCGTCATATTGCTATGGATGTTTTAGAAAACTGAAGTAGCAAATTTCAAACTTTGATATCTTTCTTAGATCTCTTAAAGTTCTTCAGAAATCTCATATGTGTAACTTCATATTTTGAAAGAGTCATAAATCATATTTTCTTTTTTCTATATGTATTTAAAGTGAAAGATCATCTGGATAGATTTATTACTTCATGCTTTCCAAATCATGAAATCTACCTGTCTGTCTTGACTCTAGAAAATTTTATGAAGTGTAGTTTTTTATTGTTGATTCTGTTTAGAATATGGTGTCTTTTTATGAATATTGTATTTTTATGAATATTATTAAGATCTTTATTTTTATCATACAAAGCCCTCATAGACATCATGACATAGAAACATCTAATTTAACTCAGTGTTTTGAATGCCTCTTTCTTATTTTATATATTCGTCTAGGTTGCTTTTACAGTTCTGTTTGATTTAGAAGCTCTTCTGAAGATCTGGTGTTTGGGTTTCACAGGATACATCAGCTCATCTCTTCACAAGTTTGAGTTGCTGCTTGTAATCGGAACCACTCTCCATATTTATCCAGACCTTTATCACTCTCAATTTACATATTTTCAGGTATGATCAGCTACTTTTACTTTCTACCCTATATAACAAACTAAAACGTTACCCATCCACATTTCACACAAATTTCGATTTTCTCACAGTATTAACTAATTTTGAAAATAACTTCAAAATAAAAAAATCTGGTTTTAACTATATTCATTGGGTGGATTTACAAAAATAGGATTCTTTCTAACCTTGCTGAGAAGTCCTTTCTGTTATCAGTAACTCCCATTTCTTATCTGAGCTGCACTGTTCAGTAAGTTCTGGTTTGTTTCTTCATTGTCCTTCACTGAGCCTTGACCTTTTACACAGGTGTTCACATCACCTTCCTGTAGTGCCCACTGCTGCTTTCCTGACTGCTCACCCTGAGGCCTCAATTTACTTGCTGTTGTTTCTCCAAGTTTTTATCTCTGTGGGAATCACGTGCTAAGCTAAGTTACTGTGGGTCTTCTGAAGTAATTTCTCCAGAATCATCCTAGGCTTGGGTTTTATAGCTCTTCAGCCACTCCTTAACTTGAGGGAAATTGTGTTTATTGAGGCTTTTCCTGCATTTTCACTTGGGTGAAGAGCAGGAAAGAGAGACAAAAAAAGACTGATTAATTCTGACTTATGATTCTTCTTGTCAGCCAGCCCAACCAATTCCCCATTCATCCTCCTTCAAGTGCTTAGGGCTGATCCCTAAAACAGAGTTTTGGTAGAAAGCACTGGGATTCATTATGTGTTACGTTCCACAGTGCTGATGGAAGGATTTTTTTTAAGAATATATATTAAAGTCTTTATATCTGCTCATTATTCAGCAATGGATTGGCATGTGCATAAGTAAAACTCAAAAAGAGAAAATAATAAATCATCAGACAGTGTCCTGTCAATAAATATGATTAGTTATAATGACAAATACTGTGAAAATGAATACTTCATGGGTGAAGCAGTCTCCCCAAGTGTGGGTTGAAACATAATGGCCTTCTCAGATTTCTGCAAATGTCATCCAGTATTTTTTCTAAATGGTTCTGCAAACTTCAAGAAAGATTTCTGGATGAAAAAATATATTTTGTTTTCATTTGATATAATTTGAAGACTTTTAAGTCATTACAGCTTTTATTTTGCCATCCAAATATGTAGAATGTTGTTACTCAATGCAGCATGATACATCAAAGATTCAAGGAAGGATGATCTGTCAGGAGTATGCAATTTCACTCTTGTGTCAATAGCACACAGGGAGTGTAGCTGGGAGCTCTCAGTTAAAGCAGTCAGCAATTTAGTTAATAATTGGTTGATATTTATTAGGACATAGTCCACTTATGACTGGTGGTTTCTTTGTAAGAATTTTCAGCATAAACTATAAAGGTTGGACTAAATGGATGACATCATCACTAACTCATAGGATTGAAAGTATAATTAAAATGTAGGCAGATGCTGGTATTAAAATAATAAATCTTTTCTTTATAATGTATTTAATTAGTTTAGTGGAGCGATGGTGGTGGTGGTATTTTAATTACACAGTGCTGGCTTTTATTTCAGAAAATTTCAAGATGTGATTTTTTTTTTCCAAAATACATGAAAGACATACGTTTTACAAGCAGAAACACCTGCTACACTGAAAGATTTGGGTTGTATTTTGCAATCCAATTTCCCTAGTAGGCAAATGATTGGAAGGTTGCAAAATACCTTTGATGTCAGCATGTAAGGCACACACCATATTCCTCCACAGTTAAGTTCTGGGCAAGCTAGATAACACATTTACAAGTCAACCAAGGTCAAACAGTCTTTTTCACATGAATACTTTTTAATGTTAGGCAGATATCCAGACATTTAGGTATTCATGATGACAGGATAAATGTGTTCCTTGTCAACCAAGAAAACAGATTACTGAAGACAGAAGTCCTTCTTGACACATTGCAGGATAGCAAGCAAGAATTATTGTTTGGCTTGTCTAGTCCTCCTTGAATACATTTAAGTTTGCATTATTCATTGGTCTATATCATTACCCTTTGCCAACATATCACTCAGTCTTTACTACATTGGCTACTGTCCACCCTCCCACCTATCTTCCTTGCATTCACTGCACATTCGTTCAAGACACTTTGTAAAGCCCTCTGTGGAAGACTACAGCAAAGGACTGTTACGTAGATATGTCTGTAAGACATAAAATTAGTGAAGAAATGACAGATTTTGCAGAGATGTGTAATGAACCAGCATAAAATGGAGAGATTTAAACACAATTTAACCTATACTGGGCTGAAGAGATGGTATTGTATTTGTTCCTGGAGAAAATGCTGCTGAGTCATTTTCTAAATAATTATCATCCCATGCAGGAGATACAGCCATTACTTGTAACAAAGCTGTGGTTTCTTTTTTGTATTATTCATTTTGATTTGTTTTTAATGTATTTTTACATTTAATCCAAATAGTGCATCTTCTACAGCTCCTAAATTTAATACAATTTGCAATCCAATTACACAAAATGCATAAATTCATTAGAGTGTACTTATGCTAGATTCAATTTGTTACCTAATGAAAATAAATGAAGAAACCAAATAGTATCAATAAGATTAGTGTGTTGCTTAAAGGTCAATTAAAGTTCCCCAAAGAAAGGGGAAAAAAGTAAAGGCAGATAATTGAGTTAATCTAAAACACCACTCAGAATACCAACTAGCATGAAATCTCCCCACTGGGGTCTGTGTTGAAACTAGTATTGATGGGAGCAGAGCTAACATTTATACCATGAGTAAATCTTGTAAGTAAGAAGGCACCATGTTTACATTATAATAGTACTTGGAAATCTCCCTCATCTCACTGTCTGCCTTGGTAGCCAGTTTCATGTATTCAGATTATATGTAATGTAGTCTTGATACCAATATGAAAGCACGGGCTTTATCTCACCTTGTGCTAATGTTGTGAAAGTTAAGCTGTCTAGTGTAACCTCTGAATCTAGGACCCTTGTTTGTCACTGAAGACAGTGGATGCTTATCCCATCTCACGTAAGGGCTCTGGTATGTTTGGAATAAGTTCCTCTCTTGAGCTGACTCTTTCTTCCTCCACTTTGGTGGTTAAATCTAGATGGCAAGCATATTCTGCATAGCTTACAAATGGGTAGGGACATGAGCTTCATGTGAAATCTAAAGGTGCACATTATTAGCAAACTACAGGGCACAGTGAACTCATTCTATGAACAGCTTCTGTGATACTTATTTTCTTTCCAAAAACAGCATAGTTATTGTATTTGACTTGTACATAAGGTCACACAATAATTGCACTGTAATTCCTACCTTTCAGTTTCAGTATGATTCCTGTGGAAATCCAGGTGACACCTTGGGATAGAGAGCCTTTTTCTTCCTAAAGTTGCCCCATATGCTGCTGTCCGTTGTCTTCAGCAGCTGTGGCTGCCACTGACTCTTGTTGATACTGATGTTCGTGTCACTGTGTCAACATCAATGCAAAAATAAGAGAATCAAAGCTGTCAGCAGCTCTTTCAAAGTAGACTCAGCAGTGGATGGGTCAGGAGTTCCACACAAGATCAAAGTTTTGCTGCCAGTACTGAGAGGTGTCAAATATGTCAGGGGCAAACAGTGCTATTGTGAGATACTGAGTTTCTCTGATACTGAGAAACATGACCCAAAATTTGCCACATTATATATAATATGAAATAGCAAAATATGTTCATTACCAAATTTGCTAGGTTATTTGGTACGTAATGCCAAACAATTTCGCTTCAGGTCACTGAAGCAGAGAGATGATCTGTGGAAAAAGACGTGGCAGTTCTTTGTGTGAATATGTAATCTGGTATAAAAAACATCATAAAATCAGAGAAATCTAAGTTGGAAGTGGCTTTTCAAAGCCATATCATTGAGCCTGCTGCTCAAGGCAGAGTTTTCATCAAAGACTTTTCAGAACCCTGTCCATTTAGTATATGAATGAAATTTTAACAGGGATCATAATCAAACAGGATCCATTTACCTAGCACTTCAGTAGATTCTCAGTTGCTAAATCTAGGCGGATGTGCTTTAAGTCCTACCTGAAGGCATTCTTATGTTTGGTAACACACTATAAACCTCCTTTGGTCTCTGATTCCACATTACATTCATATTTGGTATCTGTGATGTGTTTTGTCTATGTCTTTGTTCCCTTTGTTACCCCAAAACCGGCTTCACTCAATTGCATTTCTGAAATGACTCTTCAGGACTGGTGAGCTGACTACAGCCTTGGGGAATTTGGGCTGTCCCTTGCCTGTACTATCATCCCATTCCTGTAAGCCTCAACGCTGCTTATGCTCCTGGATTTGTGGTTTTAACCTGACACACAACTTGTCCATCTATTACGAGTGGTGGCAATTTGATGTTTATTGGTCTGCAAGGCTGCAGGTCCCTTTTTGGCCATGAATGTCCAAGATTTTGAAAGTTTTTTATTAATGTGATAATCGAATAATTGATACAGTTGCATTCTTCTCTTTCTTTGCAGGTTCTTAGAGTAGTTCGGCTTATAAAGATTTCTCCGGCTTTGGAAGATTTTGTGTATAAGATATTTGGACCAGGAAAAAAACTTGGGAGTTTGGTAGTATTTACTGCCAGCCTTTTGATTGTAATGTCAGCAATCAGTTTACAGATGTTTTGCTTTGTGGAAGAGCTGGATAGATTTACAACCTTTCCAAGGGCAAGTATAAACAGCACTGATTACTCATTTGCTTGTCACTATTTTCTTATCATGGATATTTTCTTACCATTGATTTCAGATTTGACAGTGTTTGGTAAATGATTGGACCTAGTGATCTTAAAGGTCCTTTCCATCCTAATAATTCTGTGATTCTGTTTGGGTTTAATCTAGCAAGTAGAGCTAAACATTATACAGCCACTTGTTCAATCCTCCCCCTGCAGTGGGATAGAGGAGAGAAGTGCAGGGGAAAAAAAGCAAAATTTGCGGTCTGAGATGAAGAAATTTAGTAGGACAGGAATGGGAGACAATAATGATAAAATAATTAGAATATACAAAATCATTGTATTTGTATACAAAATATACAAATACATTGTGGCTCACAATGCCATTGCTGAGTGTATGTTGACTGATGCTCAGCCAGCCCTCAGCTCATAACCAGGTTTCCCCTAGTTTATATAGGGACCATGATGGCATATAGGATGGGATATCTATCCCTTTAGTCATTTGGGGTCACTTGTCCTGGCTGTTTGCCCTCACAACCTCTTGTGCACCCTCAGCTTGTTCACTGGTGGGATGAGAGGCAGGAAAAGCCCTAACTCTGTGCAAACACTGCTCAGCACCAACTGAAAAATCAGAGTATTGTCAATATTGTTCTCATCTTAAATCCAAAATATAGCACTGTGCCAACTACTAGGAAGAAAACTAGTCCTATCCCAGCCCAAACCAGGACAGATTAGAATCTGTCATATTTGTTATTACATTAGCAGTCTTACTTTAACAGTCACCCCAGGACACTGAGCAATGTGATGCAGTTTATCTCCATATGTATAGATTAAAAGAAATATATTTTCTGTGTGTAATAGTCTTCCTGTAGTCCTTGTGTAGTGAAAACCAGCTTTCTTTGTGATAGGTATTCTATTTCTGCTGTCAAGGGAACTCAGAGAAATTTTACCCATGTACCATGATGAAGACACAGCCCAGCATATGGCTTTAACAGTACTCTATCATGTTACAGGAAGAGGATTCATGTCCACAGGCATGAACATTATCCCAAGAATTTATATAAAACATGTCTACACATGATTTATATCTTCATATTATGAAACTGGTTGTTCTTGATGTGTACAGGAATGCTTGTTTTACACAGGATTATAAAACCTGTCTGCATTGACAAAATAAGTGTTTGCCTTTTGGGTATATATAATGGATATTTATGGGCATTGCGTTAATTCAGAACAGAACACTGAAAATCAGTGGAAATTGAAGCTAATGTATTTATTGAAGCACACTGTTCTGAATGAAAATAGTGCAATTTCTTTAATAGTGGATTAGACTGAGCATACATGGATTGGTTCCAGTGACAATTTATTTGTTTCTGTCATTCCAGTTTGGGTATCCAATGTATCTATTTTAGTGAAAGTGCATTGGTTGGAACAATTAAATAACAATGAATGATGCAGCCTCAAGGGTCATGTATTTAGCGAACAAAATGGCTAAACAACAATTTGTAATTATCAAGCTGAACTTGATGTATGGGAAGCTGGCCATCCAATGTGAGACAATGCTTACCCACAGGGAATAATGTAACTATGCTTCCTATTTTGGAAAACATGCTTAGAAAAGTAGCCACTAGAATTAGATACTCAGCATCGTTCATTAAATGCTGAATTAAAAAAAAAAAATAAAATAAAACTTAAGCTTTCCTAATTAAGTCAGGTCTCTAAATCAGGTGATATTACCACCATATTCTATTTTCAATTCCCATGCACAACTTCTGAAAAAACTGCAGGTTTCAAATCACCATGGAATTTTGGTTTAGAATTATTTTATTATTTATGCAAAATGTCAATGAAAGTCCTGAAAGAATAATTGTAGTATGATCAAAATAAGATAAGATTGCAATCACCTTCACATTTTAACTAGATAAATTGATATAAGTACCTGAGAAAGATCCACTTGCAATGAAAAATGGCCAATTTATGTCAATATATTAATAAAGTTTTGGATTATATTGAGCATTTTAATCTGCTGACATTTAAGCTTAAATAAGGGCTTCTAGCATATTGAATTTTAACAGGTATATGTAAATACTAAATACATGCTTGAAGAGTGAGAAAATATTTTCTCCAACAAATCATACAGCTTTTACAAACAGAAAATTACTTTACTGGTCTTCTATTTTATGACAATTAGTGGAAAAGAGAAGAGCTGTTAGCAACAGCTAGAAAATAGAAGAGTGTTCCAGCAATACTGAATTGAAATGTATTCAGTATTTTTCATATGATAGCCAGCAGCATGAGTCCCTCATTATTTTGTTTAATGTATTCATATTCACCTCATTATATTTGTTTCAGAAGTGTATAATTTACAGTATTTGGTTACTTTTTGTAGTTTTATAGTGAAGTATCTCTTATTAGGTTAAAATAGTGAATTTTTTTTTACTCAAAATTGTGATTGATCATGTGTAATAGTGGCATCCCTCTGAAGGAGTGGGTCTTCCTAGAGAAGTCTGGGAGCTCTCAAATTTCCTTTCCTGAAGAAAGATCACTGAATCAGTTTGCAATAAGACAATTATAATTATTTTCAAAACGTGACTGAAGACATGCTATATAACATACTAGATTATAAGAAGTCTGCAGTACCAGAATTTGCAAAGATAAATTATTGGAACTTGACCTCAAAGAGGAGCAAACCTTAAATAGCCAGGACTGTTGCTGTGAATTTTTTCAGTTACAAATACAGAGGAAAAGCATGATAACAAAAATGGTGACACTAAATTTTGAGTTTGTACATTAAAGTGCTTTCTACACTGAAACCGACAAAACCTAAAATCATTTTGAAACTAAGTGCTTTATAAGAAGGCACAGTATGGGTTTTGGAACAAATAGACCTCCTCCTTTTGCTAATGTCTCTAAATTGCATGTTTTCACATGGTTTCCTGATGAAAATCAATAGGCACAAGCTCAATGTTGCCATAGCTACTAATTTCACCCTTCTTTTGGCCATTACAGCTTGCCAAATGGACTGACTTTCTCTCTAATACTAAGTACAAAAATATAGATGTTTGCTTTGCTGTTTTTAACCATCTGCTATCTGTTATTTTTGCACAACTTCTTGGGCTGCACATATTGAGCCATGAGGAAGGACAGGGGTGGCTGGGCCTCCTGAAGAAGGCCTAGGTGTGAGGTGGCTGCTAAGAAAATGCACTCTATGGAGAACAAAACACATTATTAGTGTCTCTGACTTCTATGCCCTGGTTTCTTTTGGAGTTTGTGGCTGTGTGCTGACTGCTCTGTCTCAATTTACAAAGTTGGGAATGCTGCCCTTCTTTTAAATGGGTCAACACAAGATGAAAGCCAGGCCCAACTGATAGCAACAACAATTCCCCAGTTTTCACAAAAGCAAGTGTCTGCTCCTAGCCTAGGAACCTTGGAAAAAGTTAATGATGTGAAATATTAGTTCAACCTAAGCAATACCCATTAAACAAAGATGAACAATGAAGTCGTAATTCTCTGATGCCATTAAAATCTCAGTATCACTGCCATATTTTTAAAGGATGGCTCCTCTTCTTTCAGGGCATTACTGAGCCCTTGTGACTGTGCCAGGAGGAAAACGTACATTTCTGCTGGTAGAACAGCTTGCAAAGATATTTCAGCAATGTCCTAAATCTCATTAACTTAATTTGCAGAAGCAATCCCAATCATTGTAGAACTACTTCTATGAATTAGGCCAGTGGAATTTGGTCCCCAAAATTTTGTGGGCAAGCACCAGTTACAACACAAGTACATTACAACTGTAAACAGTAATTTGTGTGGCACCACCTCTGTAACAGTTGGACAAGATGTCAGAACTGGCACTTTGGCTCATATATTCTACCAAACCTTTGCCAATCTTAAACTATAAATAAAAAGGTAGTTTGACTTCCATCATCAAAACAGCTCATTAAGTAATAGGGAATAAATACTCAAAGAAATTGACAGTCTTTTCTATAACACAAATTAATTCAGAAAATCACCATTTGCATAAATTTCTAAGTCTCGTCTTCACAGATGTTGATTCTGTCAGCTAGTTGCATTTCAAATGAATTTTAAAATGAACAGTGGGAGGTACACCTTTCAGCTAAATATAACTTGCTCTAAAGATTGCTTGGTGCAAAGAATATATTCATTGTGCACTGCCTTATTTACTTAAAACTAATGTTTTGCATTATACTGGAATTTCATGTCATAATAAAATGCTTAAATTATATTGAAAGGCCATTTTATAAAACTATATGCTTTATGGACAACTTGTTTGGATGGAAGATTAGGTTTCTTTAATATTAAAAGAATATCTTCTCCACATTAATCTATTATTAATTGTATTAAAGAGGAGTCCAAAATAAAGTACTGATGGTATTTTTATACCTTGAAGAATTAAGTAAAATACATATTTTTAAAAAGCAGTAAGCTGTAGTAATTAAGTGTGATTCAGAAGAAAGGATACTGGACTAGTTCAGTTTTCCAGTCCCTCAGATGTTTTCAAGCCAGCAGTGGGGTGTGTTACTTAATGTAGTGCCCATCTTATGCTTCAGCAGGCAGTGCCACACCAATCAGGTACAATGGCCATGGGCTCTGAGTGCAGACAAACAACAGCTGCCTGGTTTAGCTTCAGCTCCCCATTACAAAGGAACCTGAGACCTGAGAAGTTGTGCTGGCTGTTGCTGGGGTCCTTGTCTTCTTCACCCTAAAGCACCCCTGGCAGATCTAAAGGAGGCTGAATTTTCTGCTTGTTTCATGTGTGCTCAGCTGGCTACAAAAGGCCTTACATAGCTAAAGATCCCAAATGTTTCTTTCTCTGCATGTCTTGCACGGGGACCAAATTATTTTTATATAAGGAAAAGAACTAATAGTAAGAGTTGTAATTTTGTACAGTATAGAGTCTGTGCACATGGCTGGGAGGGGGCACTCATTTGAAGGGAGGATATGGCTGCAGGTTGGCAATGTGCTGGTTAAGGCCAAGTTTACTGGCAGAAACATAAAGCAGAGGCTACTGTGCAAATTTCAACCCTCTTGCTTGATGTCTTCAAATACATGACATACCACAGACTTTAACCACCCTATTTACAGATTTACAGAAATTTACAGAAAAGTAGTTGCCAGCATTTTTCTCTGCTGTTTCTAGTTCATCTGGCTTCTGTCCTCTGTGGGATCTTCATGTTCAAAAGAAAGCCTGGGAATTTACATTTGGTCAGGATGTTTCTAGTGTAGAAATTAAAGTCTGATATTTACCTTCTCTCTGAACATGTGTGATTGCTCATATGGATGCCCTGATCTGCCCCATGTTCATCACAGCTTCATATCTTGTAATTTGGACTTGTAGGTTTAAGCATCTCTGAAAATTTGATTAGTGTGAGTTAATTCTGAAAAGCAGCTGTAAAGATAACTCCCAAACTTCTTAACCTAGCAGGGTGTTTGTGCTTCTGTCTGCTTCAGAGTGCCAAAAACACAGCAGCAATAACAAACCACATTGGACTTTGGTGAGAAGCCTTTTTGTGTGAGTCAGCAGGCAAATTACTTACAAAACCCTCAGCAGCTAAATGTTTGTGAACCCTGTAACAGAGTAAAAATTCATAGTTCTTCCTCTGAATATGACCTAGAGGCAACATGATTCAGTTTTTTCACTTTAAAGTATGTATTATTTAAATCAAAAGAGGAGAAAAAGATTTAGTGCTAGGATCCGTATCTACAGTCAGTGTAAGAATGGACGGGTAGTATCAGTGGTCTTCTGGTACTTAGTTGTCAACTTTTTTTCTGTTTCCAGCAAACTTTCTCCAAGGCAATCACTGGGTACAAACATGGAAATTGTCTTCTCACACTGGGCACTCCAAAAAGGCAGTGCTTTTTATGCAGTGCCTGTATAACAAGATGATGGGCTGGATTAGATTGCCCCTGCCTTGCCCAGCCCTGTTACACCATCTCAGCATGCTTTGTAATTGCAGGCCCTCCTTCCAAATTTTAGGCAGATAGACCTTGATATAGATTTTAGGCAGATAGACCTTGATATTCATTTCATGATACAGAATCAGCATGTAGCAAGTCATACCACAGCCTCCTTGTTATTTCAGATAGTTTGGACCAGCTTCTTGTCACCAAATATTAATGACTGTTAGTCATAGGGATCTTACATAAAGCCAAAACCAAGTGCTGTGTGCATGCACATGGACAGTCTAGATTAAATTTGCTTTTACTGCAGGTGAGAAGTCACAGTCTGGGGTGGACTCCCCTAAGGGTGGGATATAACCTTAACGGTTCTGTTTGCATTGGAAAAAATGTCATCGAGAATTGTTTTGTTTGGAAAACTCCACTATAAACTTGAAAAAGAGCCCAAGCAAAGTATTTTCCTGTGGTTTATAATAATAATATAAACTTGAAGTCTCTTTGTACAGCTACTTGTTTTCAGCTTTTCCAGTACAGGTTTTGACTTAGGGTAAGTTGATGTGAAGAGCTGTCTGGATACTGTTTCCTCATAGGTTTGACAAGAAGAATCGTTTTCTCTTTGTGCCATCACACTAACGTGCTAATCTGTTGCTGCTGGGCACACTGAATACAGATCTAATACATCCTTGTAACTGTGTCAACATTTTGAATTCTCAGAAACTTGTTAGCTGTAAGCTGCATTGTTGTTTTCAGTTTCTAACACATCTTATTATGCATAAACCAAAAGTAAGATACCAGCTTTGATCCTTTCTGTCTGGAAAGAGAATACTTTCAATGTCAGGCAAAAGCAAGAGAAACTTGTGCAAGAGTTTGGCCTCCTTGAGACAATTGAGACTGTCAAGATATTTCACTTTCATACCATTCTCAAACTTCTGTTTCCAAGGCAGTGTGCATTCCTCAATGTCTGTGTAGGATGTACATCTTGCAGTTACACATTTCTCATGTTGAGTTCAATTCTGGTTAGTGCTGTAGGCTCCAGCTGGGGTTTCAAAGGTGTCTGTGTTCTTGGCTTATCTGATTTCATATCTTCCCACCGCTAAATAAATAAATAGTTTGAAACATTCCCATTATTTCCTCTATTGTTGACATGTATACCTGGTCTCAAGGAATTTGAAAATGTTACAGTAGTTCCACCAAAAAATGCTATTTACAAAATATAGAGGAAAAGTCTGACTGGCTGAATCAAGTGCAGGTGCAGAGACCTTGCCATGTTGATTATTCTCATCTGTGGAGTGCCTCAAATGCTTCTACTATTAAGATAACATAATTTATGATCACATTTAATTATAATGCTTTATTATAGGTATATTTAGAGAGAGGAAACATGGAAGAAAAAGCATAATCAAAAAATCACAATACTGTAAAATATTCAAAGCACTAATCTCTGATGCTCAGGATATTTATCATATTTTTTGAGCCATGAAGGAAACCAGATGATTCTTTGTATGGACTGATGAAGCTAGGACTGTGTTACAAATTGAAGATTACGGTTCTGTCAAAGATCAAGCTATTTATTTCTCCTTTAGCTCATGAGTAGCCTTTTACTTGGCTTTGAAAGTTTAATACATTTCTTAAGGTTAAAAAAAGAAAACCAAAACAGGTGTGTGTCTGTTAAATCAGTTATAGCAATGTGTCAATAAAACCATATTAGTATAATTTGTTAATATGTTTGCAATTCTATTTCTTGCAGGCATTCATGTCAATGTTTCAGATTCTCACACAGGAGGGATGGGTGGATGTCATGGATCAGACACTGAATGCTGTAGGGCATATGTGGGCACCAGTAGTTGCTATTTATTTTATACTATATCATCTTTTTGCTACTCTGGTAAGTTTTCACTTGCATATGTGCTGTGCTTCATTTAATTTTGAACTACTCTCATAGCTCTTGTACTACTTACTATTCTCAGTTAGTTAAAACTAATTGTGGTACTCATTTTTAGCATAGGCAGCTTTTAGTTCGTGGATGTGGTAGAATAAATTTACCCCTCAGCCATGTGACACGGGGTGGTGGCCTTTGTTCTGGTGTGAGGTGGTGTTCTTCTTAGATCCAAGTCACACTGCCAGACTAACAATATAATTATTATCTGTCTTGTACCTTTGCAGCTCTAATGATTCCAGTGAAGTGACTTTATTTACCATGTAGGACTGGTCCCCTCGGCTTTCATTGCATTCTCTTTGCAGCAGCAATCAAAATGAGAAGTATAAAACCTTAAGATATAAACCTTTAAGTAGTCATCTCTGCTGTCCTGTTGCCTGATACAAAATCAATGCATGAAGAATATAGGATATAGTATGTCAATCAATAAATTATGAGAACTAATACATCAGTTAGTTCATAAACATATACAGATATATGTACATAAACATATATATGCACATAAACAGAAATGTGGATTATATAAAAAATCCTAAAAACAACTATTTTTTCTGTATGCATTTCAAATGGGATTATTACATTCTTTTACAGGGAAAATGGGAAGGAAAGCATCTCTGGTTATCCTGTATCAATAAGGGCTTGTTACTTTATTTGAATACCAACAAAGAGAAAATACCCTAATCAGGAAAATAACCATTTTATGCACCATTAATTCACTCCTACTATTGTTCATTTTGGATTTTCCTTTGACTGCAGGTTTTGATGCGTTTAGTCTTGTTTTCACTTTTTTCCATTCCATTCTCTTTCTTTGCTCTGATGTCTACTTACATAAGGCACTAAGTGTATTAATACAATTTCCACCAGCTTCTATCTACTTCTTTTACTTCACAGTATATCCCATTTCACTTATAAAGACTGAATAATCAGACTACAATTGTGGGTGCAATGGATTACTTCATATGGACTGAAAACTTGACTTTATACTTATACACACTTTATAAATGGCAATAAAGTGCACTTCATGCTCTTAGAGCTGCTTAATTACATCAAAGAATAAGCCAAACAAATGTATGTATCAGAAGATATATAGAAGATATAAAGATAGTAATTTGCTCACAGGGGTCAGAAAATACAGCTTTTCATGCTGGAGTGTTCTTTTAAACTCCTTGGAATTTGAGTTTATAAAGAAAAAAGGGAAGTGATTTTTTGGTCATAGATTTGAAAGCAGTTACTGATAAGAGAATCTTATTGATGTGTCTTTGATGCTTCATCAAGAACATTTGCTAATCAAGAATCCATTTTTACTTCTTAGATAGAGAAGTATTAAGCAAGTCCATAAAGTAAAATATGTCAGGTGACCTCTCTGCTAAAAATTCACATCTTAACTGAGAAATAATTTAGCTGTAAGATCAATTTTAATATTCTGTTTTGCTTCCTGTTTTGAAAGAGTCATCTGGGACTTCTCTGTTTGTTTACTGAAAGCACTGATTTTGCTAGGAGCGAAGTCACTTTTCAGTACACCATCCTCAGTCCTTTTGAAGGGAATTTGCATTTAAATACACAGTCCTTGCTTTGCTCCATAAGGGTACACTTTTCTTCTTACTCACTTATGCAAATTCTACATGAATGAGGAAACCCTGCAATGACAACTTTGCAGAATTATCTGGGCTCATAAAATTTTAGTTTCAGATCTAAGATCTTCCTCAGACCTTGGAAGGAAAAAATATGTAGGACAAAGTTGTCTGTAGGCAAAAGAAATTTAAAAGAAAACAGCATGGAACTGGTAAGGGAGCATGAAAATTGTTGGGCTGCTACTAAAACCAAAAAAGAAGCACTATAAGAATAAACAGCCATCAGAGAATAATAGGAGTAAAGTCAAATGAAGAAGTTACTTTCACCAACCAGAAACGGGGAAAAAGAAGTGAGAATGATAACTGCAGGCATTTGGCATAGCAGACTACAGAGACTTGGAAAGAAATTAAAAGGTTTCACATTAGAAGGCAAAGAAAAACTGAAGTTCAAAGAGAATTCCCTCTCTTGGAAACAAGGACTTTTATTTGTTGAGATAGCAGCAGAGGAAATTAAACAAATAACAAGATTGCATTTAACTTTTCTTTTGTGGTACCTTGTCTTTGGTTCTTGTTGAAAAAAAAAGCAAGAAGGGAGTTAATGAAAGTCTTGCCTTGATACGTATCAGTGTATGAATCAGCAAGACTGTGAGGGGTGATGTATTTAATGAGCATGGAACTGAACTTCCTTAACTGGTATCCTTTGAGCAGCACTGGATTATCATGGAATGAACAGGATATCTGAAGAAGGAAAACATCATACTGTAAAATGTTAACAGAGTTATAGCAAAACTGTTCATTAGCAACTAGGGATCAAAGTAGTTTTCATAAATTGTTGTTGGTCACAAGGAATGACAAAGGTCAGAGGGTCCAAAAACAATCAGAAAGTTCCACTTGGCATGGAAATTAGTATGTTAGTCCCTGACCTACTATATAAGTGCATGGCAGTGGGTTTTGGATAATGCAGTAAGGTGAAAGGGAAGAGAGACATTAAAGAGGTATAGATGAATTAAAGAAAGAGTGACAGCAGAAGATATCACTAGTGCTGCTTCCAGCATTCATCCAGCTGGAGGGGTGATGAGCTTGGTTTCAGCATCAATCCAGCAGCATCACTCTAGCTCATGAGATGTCCAGGATCCTGGGGGTGATTATCCAGCTGGCAAGTGTTGATCCATCTGTGTCAGTATGGCCAGTGGGATGTTCAGGGTACTGGAGGGTGCTGCTTGGGCTTGGGGAGGACCTTTTTATGTTGAGGTTTCTCTCTTTCTATGCTAATTAATTATCATTTACAGTCTGTTCATTCAGGCCTTCCTGGAAATGGTCTTGAGGGCTTTGGGGGTCCTTGGTGGTGTCAATCCCACCCTATAGTCCATGCGTATGCCATGCCCATGTGCATGTCAAGTCATTCTTGCACTTGCACTGTGCTGTGTTGTTTTAGCTGGTGTAAAAGTGCTGCCCTATCTCTGTCTCACACTCATTTTCCAAACCTTGTTCTTTCTCATGGCATTGTAGTACCTATAGTTCTTGATTATTACCAACGAGTTTTGCTTGTCATTATTAATAGTCTTTGGCTGGCTCCACAGCCGTCCAGCTATCGCTGTGTGAGACACACATTCACCCCTTCTTCTGGGAACTGAGAGCTCAAACAGATCTCACTTTAGACCGCTGTTTATAGGATCATTAGAGAGTGTGTTTTAGTCACAGTCATTTTCCATCCTGGCCATAATTTGAGTCACTTTCTTTGAAGGTTCAACAACAGAAATATTATTCCTCTTGGCTCTTTTGCAGGCAAGAAAAGTATGTTTCCCAGGTTAAATTCAGGCACTCGTTAGACACCTGTTAATTCCTGGGAACAGACAGTGTTTCTGATAAGCTCAAGAGGGGCTTAGTCCAAGTGCAGTTCATCCAGGCTGAGTGAGGCCTAATGAGCATTTCTCAGCTCACAGTGTGGCCTGAGTGGGAGAAGGGGTGCACCACCACAGGCTATCCTGTCAACTTCTCCGGGCCTCTACACTAGGCTAAGTATTGTGTATTTTATTGGAATTGTGTCTTGCATTGCTGTACTGAATGCAATCTTTACTTCCACTGTTTGTAGTAGTTGGATCATTGAAAATTATATGTATTTAATAGTGATGTATTGTTTATGTGGCACATATGTCATTTTGAATAGCTGCAGGAAATTCTACATGTTGCTAAAGCCAGCTTCTTGTTAAAAGAATGTTGATTTTTTCTGAGTACTGACATTTTTTAAATGTATGGGCCAGAGTCCTTCATATGTCTTCTTTACTTTTATAGTTCATGGAGCAAAAGAAAATCCTGCCTTGGAATAAGGTCCACTCAATTTAGATGTATTTTGATTTCCAAACTACTTGTCTGTTATATTAAACCATGTAAATTTCATCTTCTGTAAAGGTGGGGAATAAATTTCCAGTGTGACAGGCAAACTTACACTTCATTTACAAGTAGTCTTCCTTTACAAGTGGAAGGATATGGTTGTCACTTAGTGGTCCAACACAGCAGAAAAATTCTAGGCCTGTAACTCTATCTAAAAAAAGAGTTATTATATCTTCTGGTACCTCTCTTCTGTATCAGAAACTGCTTGCCTGTAGAAGCTCAATTGTGCTTGAGGATGTTTGCATCAAACTTCAGAGACTAAAACTTCAGCAGTTGCTGACAGCTGTTGAGTTATGTATGTGTACATATTGACTGCCTTAGATAGAAGTTGTCTGATAATATATGCTGAGCAGTGGTATCCTCCCTCACCTACGATACTCCTAATTCTGTTTGCTATATCAGTCACATTTTCAGCTTCTTTGGCCTCTGGTCAGCATCTGTACACAAGGGAAATGTAATAATCTGATACTGATACACGCTTTTTTTTTCTCCCTGGAATTCTTCCTCCTAGAAAATTACCTAAACAATATTTAATGTAGAGTAAATGGAGGCACTTGATTTTCCTCTTCTGTGACATGAGTTTTGTATACATGTGATGCATGCAAATAATGAAACAGCTAACTTTTCTTCCAAAGTGGATTTAGCTACTTTTCACAGAGGCACTCTGAGTAGAAAAGGAAGTCCACAAAGTAAATGACTGTCAAATGACTAAAAAGTCACACGTTAATTGAAAGTCACCTAAGCTTTACAAGATGTTTTAGGATTTTGCTTTGCATTTCTTTTATTATTATTGTTGTTGTTGTTGTTGGGACTTTTGTTATTGTTTCTGATTAATTTAATTTTCTCTTCATGTGAAGTACATTTTAATGAGTATATTGTTAAACATATATAATGCATTGGTCATAAGACCTAGAATTCAGCATTTTTAAGCTCATAATAATTGTATGGTGAGATAAAAAATAATTTACTACTTGAAAAATGGCTAGCTGATATATAGTAGCAGATGATACTAGTTCAACAGATGTCAAAGGCAAGAATCCCATTTAGATCATTTGGGCTGTCATTTTTCCATGTTACTTAATAATACTTCTTAAGAAAGTACAGTTTCTTAAGATTCACTTTAACAAATCACTTACTTGTTTTGTAGATTCTACTCAGCTTGTTTGTTGCTGTTATTTTGGACAACCTGGAACTTGATGAAGATCTAAAAAAACTTAAACAAGTAAGAACATGTTTTTATTGTGCTTGGAAGTAATTTCAGTAAGGCATTTTACTTTACTGGTATTTTGTGTGGCAGAAGATGGGCAATATCTCCATCACAATGAGCAAAACAATACATGTAGAAGTGACTAGCAGTATTTTGTTGGATGGTTTACTATCACAAAACCTTAAGGAAAAATTAAATTCTGACCTTGTGCACAAACCACCAGAGACGAAGGTATCCATAGCTCTTAAATGTGCTTTAATCTGTACAAAGAGAAGCAAAGTCATCAACATTTCACTGTTTCATGCATGAAATAGCATGAACTAACACATGGCAACTTCTTCTGTAATATTTGGCTTATAGCCATCATTTGCTGCTTTTGTTCATCTTTCATGTGCCTCAGCAATTGCCATAGAATTATGTTTGTTCAGTTCACCCAGACAATTGAGATACTTTACACTGAAGTTCAATATGACTATGTTATATACTTTAAGTTTTTATTTATAGAATTCAATGCAGAAATCAATGCTGCTTTTGCTGTTGCAGTATTAAATATCCATATGTATTGCAAACTTGAAATAAGTTAAAAGGACAAGTATTTTCTGCAACAATGAAACAAATACTAGACTTCAGCTGATCAGTTTACATGAGTGAGAGATCTTACAGATGATTCTGGGATGGTGGGACAGTCTTGAGTATGCAAACTGAGTAGACCAAATCGAAGGCATTAATTTTTCTCTTTATCAGTCTCAAGAGGTAAAATGATCTGAAATGAAAATGGCTCAGATGTTGTAAGCAATGTCAGATCATACTGATAATCTTACAGGAAATTTTTCATAATGTCTGCATGAGTTATGAGTACAAATAAATTTTCCAAAGTGAAGAGCTTGAGATGTGAAACCGAGTGGTTTTTGTGTGAAACGTCACATCTTTGATTCATAAACCACTTTAAAAGTCCCCATTTTTGCTTATTAAATGGCAACAGCATGGCTTTGTGCTTTAGCCACCTGCTTTGGAAGTGGTGAGCAAAAAGCAATAATGAGAGGCCACCACTAGCAATGCTTGCCACATTTCAGTCTGAAATTTTATTAGCCTGGTAGGAATTCTGTCTCTGTGATAGCACTAGAGAACACTTAAATGAAAAACATAACTATACTTTTTAAAAATCTCTCAACTTCATAGCTTTGAGACTGCAGCAGCTTGACTACATTAGCGTAGTGCTAGGCCAGAACAAAATTGCTGCCCCAGCCACCAGATGTTCTAGCTACTGTGCTGCTGACAGTCTCCGTGACCCGAGGGCATTTAACCACAGCACAGCACTGTGCCATTGGACACACCAGGTGGGTTGACTGGCATAATGGTGTATGGATTCTACAAGCATTATGATGCATATCATACACCATCCTGATGCATAAAAACGGCCAAGGTGGCTGCCGCTGGTTCATTTGTACTTATGTTTCTGAAATGTTTTCTTGAACAGTCGTGTCTCCTCTTAGATTATTACTCAGTTCTATTGATTGCATTCCCTTCTAGTATTTTATGCACACAAATGAATGTTGTACAAGGTCTTGCGTATTTTAAAAATGCTTAAGGTGAAAGGAGGCAAGGGATCATTTCCTGGATCTCAATGATATGAGATTAGTAGAATGAATGTACAACTGCTTTAGTGCCAAGAACAGAAAAGATTTCCTGAGGCATAAATACGATGGTGCAACAGGTTCAGTGCTGATGGTGACTGTACTCTACTGTGCTGAAATATTGATTGTCTTATCTCAGAAGATAAAGCAAAAAGATTTTTAATTGAATGATATTTTGAATTTTCAATTAAAAAATGGACTTAAGAAGAAGCAGGATTATAAGGTAATTGTTATGTTTTGATCAAGACCGTTTCTATAAAAAAAGAAATCTGTATTGCTGCACAGAAAAAAATTTTACATTTGTAATTAAAATATTAATGGTGTTGCAAGAGAGGAGGCAAATAATTCAAACTTAATGTAAAAGACATTGGTTGGTTGAAAATTACGAAATTGTAATGCTCTCAATCCTTGGGGATGTATTTTTTCCCTGCCTTTACAGATTTTAAAGCTCAAGTCCCAGGGCATTGTCGATGATGAAATACTGAATGATTTTCAAGGAAGAAAGGAGAATATATTTGTGCCAGAAATCACACCTACCTAATAATCCCTTTTGAACTGTGTTCTTCTTAATTGTGGCTTAATTTCTTTTCTGGAACTTCATAAGAAAAAATTTATTACTTAACTTTCAAATTTTTGGGAGAGGATTAATTACTTAATATTTGAAATGTACTCTAGAATGTAAAATGATATGTAAACACGTCGTATTCATGTTGCTTCAGTAAATAGGAGAGTCTAAGTAAGATTATGATATAATTTATTTAAAAGAAAGTAAACCTTTAGAATTAAATATGCCAGTGCAAATTTAGTTAAGGATGTGCATCATGATTCAGTTTTTGATTACCCCATTACATAATATAAATTTCAAAACTCTGGCCTCAGTGCAAAGAGTAGGTAGCGTTCCTTTTAATAAGCTGCTAGTCCATTTATTGTCCAGTGTTTGATCCTGTGCATTATTTATTGCACAGCATTCAGGCTTTGCTACAAAGACAAATCTATTAATCTCCTTTCTGTCTTTTTTATGGTACCCCTCATAAGTATGTAGAACAAACATAAAACTTGTGAAAGTTTAATTTAAGAGATTTACTTAGCAACACAGGTACACGTAAACAGAATCTGCTTTTCCAAGACACAATTCAGCTGGTTTAAGAACAGTCATTCTCTGTATCCTTACAGCTCTGTTTATTTGCAATGCATCTCCCAACCTCTGCCACATCTCATCCTCTTGTCTGTCTACCATCATAGCTCAAGTTGAAAGTGTTTTTACTATAGCTCATAGTCACCACCTATCTGTGCAATAAACTTGACCCTCTGCAGCTATCCAGACTGACCCTAACAAACTTCTGAGTCTCCAGGTATGACCTTGATCCTGCTCATCTTCCCAGGCCATTCAGTAAATCAGTTATGCAGATGATATCAAACTCAGGCACAAGAAATCTATCAACTACAATCCTGACTTCCTTCTCATTCATGCCTGTCTTCTCCACGCTCTCCCTAAACTATTGTCCCAAAGTTAAAAAGAAACTGAGAGAACTTCTTTGATGTCTTTTGCCTTTTGTGATAAAGTGATGACTTTCGTTTTAGAAATTCATCACCCTTAACAGATTTTGAAGCATGACTTTGTCTTGCAGAAGCTGTTTTAACTTTTCCCATTATATTCTCCACATACTTAATTTTTCCATTGTTACATATTTCTATCAATTTGCATAGATACAAAGTCAGACTGTTTAGATTCTCACTTCTCATGCTCTACCCTGGATCCCTCTTTTAAAGTTAGTCATATTTGCCACTTCCTTTTCTCTCACTCCAAAGTTTATTTAAGTGACAAATTATCTATCACTGCTGTATGTCAGCCTTGCTATATCTGAGATCCTTTAGAAGTCTTGAGAGAGTGCTATCGGGCGTTTGGGAGTCACAAATTGACCTTGTGTCAGTTATCTTCCAAAAGCTTTTCTCCTGACACTTTTGTAGATCAGTCTTTGGCACAGCTTAGGGTCTTCTTTAAATCTGTCTGTGGCCAAAACTGTTTATTTTAATTTCTTGTTTTGGTTTTATTTTTCAGAACACACTTAATTGTCTGTTGCTCTTTTAGACTTCCTGCTTTCCTTATGTCCTTAAGAGCTTTCTTATTAGAGTTTATTTCTTTAGAAACTAGCCCCTCAAATTTTTTCATGATCTGCCATTATTTTTATACCAAAAAGTGCTAAAATTTATGTTGAGGGTTTTTTTCTCTATTCTTTGCTTAGCATATGACTTTCTTTTCTGAAATGTATCCATTTACTTTTAAGTCTTCTTTGCACTCCATTTGACATTGCTGGTCTTGTTGACCTTCTTCGAGTTTTTCTGTAGGTGGTAGATGTATTCTGCTAATAAAACAGGATATTTAAAGCTACTCCATACACTCCCCCTTCTCAGTTTCCATCATTTGTCCATTCCTTTAAATTTCTTTTCAAAAGCTTTATGATTTAAGTAATTAATTATTTCATTTAAATTCAGTATAATAGGTAGATTTGACTTTCTACTTGTAAAGTTAAATCTGAATTTGAGACCATTTTTGTCACTGTTACAGAAGAGCTTTTTTGATATTTATGCCATTAAATAGATTTTGCTCAGTACTCAGTACCATGAGATGTTTCTTCACTTAGGTGTTCTCTGGCTAGCTAAGTCAGCAATGAGTCACTTATGAGTAAAAAGTTAATATCTTTCTTCTTCCCTTTCTTCTAAACATACATGAGGGTAAACAAAGGCTTCCCAGTGTTATTACTGCTTGTCTTTTGGCTTTGAATACTATTTTGCGTTTTGAAATTGTTTTATAATCTTCATTTACACATGTGCAGAATATTTCTGCCAGTTTGAGACACAGTTTCAATGCACATGGATCCTGTGGTTTTTTTATATGCATTTACATTATTCACTGCATTGATTGAAGAATTTCTGTAAAATATAGCACCAGGTGCCAGGTACTCTCCATCTGGATAATACATTGCCTGTTTTTTAATAACAGAAATTCTAATGCAACCATGGGGGGGTTAAAATTTTGTTATTAATATAAAAGCCTGTATATGTATTATTCTTGTCGAGTTTTATGTCCTCTCCTTAATATGGCTTTATTTTTTAGGTTTTTTTTTTGTTTCCTATCAGAATTTTATAAACTTTTAGATTTCCCATAGCTTCGTTCTCTATGGAGAGACTCATGTTTGCCTAGTTGACTACTTCATTCTGGGCTTACTCTACTGTTTTAGTACCTGCTCCTTTAACAGCTTTTGCAGCCAGTGAAGTTCCTTAAAAAATTTATGAAGATTTAAACACCTGGGTAGAATTCATCTCACTGCACCATTATAATGTTGTATATACAGTTTGAAATATTCATATGGATTTCCTTCT